CGGGTCCACAGTTTGCTTTTTCAGAAGAGGGCGGACCATCGCTTCCTTGAGTGCCTCAGGGAACCGCCCCTCCGAAAGGGACTTGTTGATAATCTCCCTCAAGGCACCTCGAAACCCCTCGTGGCCCGTTTTAATGAGCCAGGAGGGGCACAGATCAAGGCTGCAAGTGGTTGGACGCACAGATAGAAGCACTCTATCTACTTCCTCCAGGCTGAGCCGGTCAAAGCCCTCCAAACCCGGCGAAACCATGCAAGGGGCCTCAAGTTCACGTACTGTATCAACTGTGGCGGGGAGGGCACGGCGGAGTGACAAGACTTTATCCGCGATAAACATAAAAATTCTTATCCACCTTTGTTTTGTATTTGACAGAGAAAGAGGAGTTCAAAAGAATTAACCTGCTTCACCTCTTTTTGATTTTTATGTTTATAAAAATGTCATTTCATTTTTGGTCACTTTTATATCTTATATCCTTGACATAGATGACGAAGCCCTTAGAGATGGAAGTGTTTGCATTTGGGAAAACTCACTCTGATTGGGTATATAAGTATTTTTTTTATTTTGATTAGATTTATATACACATATCTAAATCTAATAAAGGGACAGAGTGGAATATATAAATCTAATAAATAACACTGGGGGACATTTTCCCCTTATCAATTTTACAAATCACAAGTGACAGGGTACATAAGAAATTTCAACCACAATGCAACAAAGAATTAGGCATACTTAAGCCTACTGATTTCAGTCTATAGTCACTGAGGAATGGGTTTCTCCACCAGGATTATACATACATCATGATGTTGTTCAGTCACACAGTCGAGTCCGTCATGATATATCATGATGCACATCATGATACTTCCCTATTTTACACCACATTAATCTCAAGTGTGATTTTACTGGAATATTTTGTACATTTCTGAAATATACCATGCAATATAGAAGTAGGTTGTGAATAAAAAAAATTAAGCAACCCATTATGAAATTTAATGTAAAGAATATAAAAACAGATCAGTGTTACTCCTTGAATGCACAGATTTCTAAACAAGCCTCTTACAGGTTTAATGAAAAGTTCCGGGTTCACAGCACGGAACAGAGTGGTAGTCCGGACACTTCGCAGGCCTGGAACTCGATAATCTTTCTCCTTGGATGCTTCATGTTGTAAATCTGGAGGTGGAGATGCTGAGGACATTGTCCTGTGTGTAAAACATTTAAATTAAATTGAGGCATACTTTGGGGCTTTGTTGGAAAGAATGTGGTACCAGTAGTGACAATGTGAAAAACATGAAATGTTCTGGGAAGTGAGCAGCCTGTGAAATTAAGAAAACAACTGGCTAGAAGTGAATGTGGACATGTCAGAGTTAATTTTTCAGGAAACTATCAAATGCCTGGTCTGAAGGAAGTCATAAGTTTTGCACAATCATAGAAAGAATACATATTATTGCTGTATTATTCCTTTGCAAGCTTCACCCACATAGCCACCCACCCTCAACTCAAGACTGTGAGGCGATGTTTAAATGATGAAAATTAATGTAGAACATGCGGTTTGTTTTGCTATTTGGAGGGAGGGAAGAAGCAAACTTGTGACAAAAAAGCAGCCAGGTTGTACAAATGTCATACTCTTCTCTAGCATTACCAACTTCCTAGAACCCCTTTAATGTGGACTAAATGTGTGCAAATGGTCAGGTGAAGCTTTTCATAACATGGAGGAAAATAACATCCCATTAGAGGACTTTTTCTTCCTAGGGGGTTGTCAATGCTACTCTTCCCCTACCCCCTTCACACAAGTTAAGTGGGACTACTTTCTTAGTGCAGTTTTTTTTAATTAAGAAAACAGGAAAAGGAAGCATCAGTGAACTTTTTTTTCAATTGGCCCTAAACTAGAGCCCTATTTACTATGGGAAAGTTCCAAACATTTAAAGTTCCCAGGAACTGTGTAGGGCAACCTTAATCCTATAAACATAGACCTCCATACAACATATCCTTCCTTTTGGGCACCTCAATGAATTTAACAGCATTACAGAGTATCTCTGTGTGAACTGACTGAAACCAATGTCCTTCCCCCCTAAGCATGTAAGGAATATCTTGTGTTTATACCTAGACCTCACATATAGATGCCAGCCTCCAGGTGGAACCTGGGGATCCCCTGAAATTACAACTCATCTCCAGAATACAGAGATCAGTTCCCCTGGAGAAAAGGGATGCTTTGGAGGGTGAGCTCTAAGGTATTGTACCCCACGGAGGTCCCTGTCCTCCCCAGGCTCCATCCCCTAATCTCTAGGAGTTTCCCTACCTGGATCTGGCCACCCTACCCCCCATCCCCCACCGTTGGCCAGGGGGGACCTGGCGACCCGTTGCCGCCAGGATCACTAACTCCATCCCACACATTCTAAAGCATCCTACACGTTAGATACTGAAATACATAACCGTCGGGAGGAAGGGGCATTGCAGATAGATTAACGCAAAGTACAAACGCCGTGTGGGATGTCCTAGGTTGATTCATGCAGAGTATTGGGGTGGGTGGGGGCTGTAAAGTCGCTCGAAGAAAGAGGGTGGTGGTTGCTACTGTGTTTGGCACAAACTGACAGCCGAAATGCGAACGACAGGTACGGACAGACAGTGGGGGATTTTAATCTGTAGACAGGCTCGACTCTGAAGGACTGAGTTTGCAAAGGGCGCCCCTCTCCCAAACCCTGGCTCACCTCTCTCCGTTCCATGCCAGGCTCGGCCCTGCCCCTCACCAGCGCTCCAATTAAACCGTGAGCAGAGGACGAGGGGGTGAGGGTGGGGGGAGAACTTCTGGGTCAACGTCGCCAGAAGGAGCAACAGGGATCGCGTGCGCCCCCTGCATTCTGGAGGTTGCGGTAGACCTCTTACATTTCCAGAGTTAATTCCAAGTGGCTGACCGCGTAAATACACCTTGAGTCCAGCGATAACTTAAAGGTTAATAAAAATTTCCCACCATGGGTTAGAGTTTACCTCATCAGGTGCATTTAGTCTGGAGGTGTTGCAGTCTTGCTGCGTAAAAACTACTGGAATTTATGCTGCAATAAAATTTTCCTTGAAAAGGTAGAATGTAATATAGTAAAAACAAATAGGAATCTTGAGGTGCTTCAAAGATTAACTACATTATATTCCAACATAAATTTATAAACGTATTCTCTATATTACTTTCTATCCTAGGGAAATTAATCCACAATACTGGTATTGTGACTGTTTTCTGAACCTACCTTCACTACAGCTGGATGTTACCAATTTAGCAGCTTGCCTTGTACTTAATGGTCCTTTGACTCTGCTGTTGAAAACTCTTCTATTAGCTCATACACAATATGCTCAGGGTGACCCCATCCCCACGTACACAAAATGCCTGTAGTCCCCCAAAATTTATTCTAGCATAGAAATTTGTTAGCTTTTACAGTGCCACTAGACTCCTGTTTATTTTTGCTGTAACAGAAGAAGAAGATTGGATTTATACCCTGCCGTTCACTCAAAGTGGCTTACAAACTCCTTTCCCTTCCTTCCCCACAAGAGACACCCTGTGTGGTAGGTGGGACTGAGACCTCTGAGAGAACCGTTCTTTCAAGAATAGCTCTGACAGAACTATGGCTTGCCCAAGGTCATCCAGCAGCTGCAAGTGGAGGAATGGGGAATCAAACCCGGTTTTCCTAGATTAGAGTCCATGCACTTAACCACTGTACCAAACTAACATGACTATATCTCTGGAATTATTCCTATTTGGTAAAGAAACTGTTTCCATTCAAGTCAGGAAAAGATCAGTGAAGACGGGTATCTCAACAGGGGTTTGTGGTGGGGAAAAGGTCCTAAAATAGTTATAGTTATGTGATCTACCCACACAGTGTCTAACCCAGTTACTACAAAGTTTTCCTCATTGTCTTCCAAGTCTCATGTGTTTGGCTGCTGTGATCCTGTGGACACAGAATGTTTGTTTTATTCTGTACTAGGAATAAGACTCGTGGAAATAAATACAATGAGCTCTAGAAAGAGGCTCTGGGAGAGTGCCAACGCCTTGGACACTCAGTCTCAATGTGCTGTGGTGACCTCAGCAGGGTATAATGACACAGAGTCCACTATTTCCTCCAGAGGAACTGACCTATGCTACCTGAAGAGCAGTTGTAATTTTCAGTAATCTCCAGCCCTCACCTGGAGATTGGCAACAATTGTTACCTGTCTGAGGTCCCACCCCTCCTCAGACCTCACCCTCTCCAGGTTCCATCCCTCAAATCTCCAGGAATTTCCCACCTGGAGTTGGAAACGCTATCTCCTTCCCAGCCAATCATCAACCTACCTTTATTTCCCCCTCACTCTTCAGCTTTCCATTTCCTGCAGCCTCTTCCATGCTCTGAAGCCCTGACTGCTACAGAGTCTACCATTATCTCCAGGGGAACTGATCTCTGCATTCTGGAGAGCAGTTTTAATTCTGAGTGATCTCCAGGCCTCACCTGGAGATTAGCAACAATGGTTTCCCAGGAGGAAAAGTAGTCTTTCTCTGCAATGGGGACCGAAGCAGCTTACATCATTCTCCTCTCCCCCTTTTGACTTGCACAACAACCCTGTGAGATAGGTTAGGCTGAAAGTCTGTGACTGGTCCAAAATCACCCACTCAGTTTCCACAACAAGAACCTGGATCTAGCAGACCCTGCTCTGAAGCACTGACTGCTACGCCTAGGGCAGCCAACCTCCAGGTGGAGCCTGAAGATCACCAAGTATCACAACTGAACTCCAGACAACCCTGGAGAAAATAACTGCTTTGGAAAGTGGGCTCTCCCCTACCCAACCCCTGACTTCCATAGACTCTACCAGAAAATCTCCAGGAAATCTCCCTACCTGGAGCTGGGAAGCCTAGTCAGGACTGGCCCCAATGAGTTCCTACAAAGGCCTGCAAAGGGTTTCCTTCCTTTGTCTGAACCAAGCTTGGTTGCCTGCCATGGCAAAACGGGCTCCAGTTTACAGCTTAGCTGTTTGCCTCCCACCCTTGTTCCCACCCTCCCACCACTCCTTAAGTTCGCTGCCACCACTCATGGAATCGTCACTGCCTTTTTAGAGGGACAGTGAGACCCCTCTGGCCGAATCTTTCTATTTGGAGATGGAATCCCCAATCATTGGGGGATCCCTGGAAAGTTGGCAACCCAAGGGTCTGGCCTTTCCTTGCTTCCCTGGGCTACCCCCTCCCTTTGTTATTGTGCAGAGCGGGGGAGACTATGTGGTCAGAGCACAACACAGATTATTAGCCCAAATTAAAGAATTAAACTATTTACACAGTTATGGAGCACACACACACACACACTCTAGGAGTAAGCACACACTATGAACCAACAGGACATGAATCAACAGGTGTTAAATGCAATCCTCTTCCCCTACACACAATACTCTCTACCTCTGGAGGTTGTGGGCAGGGAAACTTCCATTCATTCCCCAGTCCAGCCGACTGTGGAGTGGCTGAATTTCTGCTGCCTCCCAGGGACGAAGACTGCCTTGGGGCAGTCCCTGTTATCCCGCACTTTTTAGCCTTGGGGCAGCTGGGAACTGTAGGCCAGCAGATGAGGAAACCCCATTCAACCCAGTGAGTGATACCCCTGCAGGCCCCTCTCTGGAACTACAGCTCAATTAAACCTTATGGGGAAACATTTTAAACAAAGAACCACAGCCATCTTACAAACACAGGTAACTGCCATTTCGTGACATCTACCAACAGCCACTGAGGGGAAAGTTAGTCCCACACAAGAGGCAAGCAGGAAAAGCATCTTCTTCAAGACAGAAAGCCATTTGCCAGTAATTCTGACAGGGCACATTGGCTGAAGGGGGAGTGGGCTGGGAAGAGGAACAGTCTCAACACCTGGCCAATGGCACATGAGTACTCTTGAGTGGTGGCTGATGGGCCAAACAGCTGAGGGAGTGCATGGAATGTTGCCACTCCAAAACAGAATTATTATAGAGAGAGATTTTAGATGTTTCAATAAATGACAGAAGTGTTTTCTTTTTATCTTTGTACTTTTATGGGTGGTCATGGCATGCTATCCCAGAGCAAATCCACACTCTGTACTCCCCATTGTAGAATGAGGATTTGAACTTGGGTCTCCCAAATCCTAGTCTGATACTCTAACCACTGCCCCAGGAGTTGCCATTCCACACCCAGGGATCATTCTACCATTAGGGACTTGTCATTCCAGCCTTGGGAGCCATAGCTCCAGTCCTAGGCTGTGTGTACTAATTTCTTTTTTCTCTTCCCTACTATTTCTTCCTACCAATATGTTCTTCTGCCCTAGTGACCTATTCCATTACTTTTCATAATCAGTTCCTTATGTTATTGGTAATGTCGCTGTACATCCATGTGTTTCAATGGAGTCCAGTCATACCAATTGGTTTTCCTGGTGGTGGTGGTGGTAGTAGTAGTAGAAGAGGAGGAGGAGGAGGAGAGATTGGATTTACACCCCATCCTTCACTACCTGAAGGAGTCTCAGAGCGGCTTACAATCCCTTTCCCTTCCCCTCCCCACAACAGATACTCTGTGAGGTTGGTGGGGCTGAGAGAGCTCTCTCAAGAACTGCCCTTGAGAGTACAGCTCTGAAAGAACTTATGACTGGCCCAAGGTCACAGCAGCAGCTACATGTGGAGGAGAGGAGAATAGCTCTCCCAGGTTCCAGGCAACATCTTTGTCTTTATTTTTAGTATACATCATGCTGGGAATGCTGTTGAGATTGTTTTACTAATCATTCTAGACTAGCTTGTACAATTTTATGAGGTGGAATCTTGCAGTTCACCTGAAACTATGCAGGCAAACAGAAACCCCACAGACTAAGGCACTCTGCAAACCCCAGGTGGCTTTTATGAATTCCAAGCCCTGAACAGATGGGGCCCTCAGCCGCTTCCTGGCAGTTGACCTGAAAGACTGAAAGGATTTATGTTTTTTCCTTGCCCTGACCTGGATAGTCCAAGCAAGCCCGATCTCATCAGATCTCGGAAGCTAAGCAGGGCTGACTCAGGGAAGTACTTGAATTGGAGACCTCCAAGGAATATCAGGGCTGGGACACAGAGGCAGGCAATAGTAAGCCACCTTTCTAAAACATCCAAGCCCCACTAGGGGTCACCAGAAGTCAACCATGACTTCCAGGCACACACACACACACACATACACATACACAAAATACCCACCAAATAATTTACATTATTTTCTGATTCTCAGGTGGACTCTGTGTCACCATATTATAAAGGATCAGCTGCTGGGGTCTCAAGCACCATCAAGGCACAGACTGAAGAACTAAAGTTCTGGCCTGGGCTTATGTCAGCCAGCCCTGTATTTTTACTTAGGAGTGGATTTAGGATAGGTTTTACCATTTCTTCCAACTGGAAGAGACCTGAATTCATCTGACAGGTGCTTAGGCTTATTTTCAATGGAACCTTTCTAGTATCCAAATGTCCTGAATTCTTGGCCTCCCTTCTGAATCAGTCCTGTTATTGAAAGAGATCATGGTTGAACTGCCTCCCCCCACCCCTGTTTCAGATCTGCTTTCCTAGGGTCGCTGTAAGTGGGCTGTGACTTGACGGCATTTTCCACCACCACCCCTGGTTGAGAAATATAATGGAATAACCTTAAACTAATGTCATGAGTGACTTTGTAACCTGTATGTTTTCCAAATGTGCACATATCAGAGAGTGGAAAACACCAAGAATATATTTCGATGGATTAATGGGCCATCTGTGTTTTGTGTCAATATTGAACACACAGTATGTCATCTGCTGCACCAGAAGCTATTGTTG